AAAGAACTAGTTCTCTCTCCAAGAACGATGTGTCCTATTGACCTGGAACAATACCTGGACATGCCTGTCATACAATATGTCCTATTGACCAGAATCTAGACGTAATTCCTAGTATCTGAATCATTCTGCAAGGGTAAGAGGGTTATGTAATTACCCAATTTTTAGATACTGACCAGCTTTGATATGCAATCACAGACTAATATCTGGGGAATAAGGAATTTCTTTTATTTTTTATCATTAGGAATGAGAGTGCTTTGTCATTTCATTTTCTAGTAGTTACTGCGATGTAGGACCATCTCAGTTCTAGTCCTTAGAGAATGTTGAATGGTCTCTTGGATCAGAATTTTATGGCTGTTGATGGCTGCAATGGCTTCTTGAAGGAAAAAGAGAGAAAATAGGGAGAGAAAGAAGAGAGAAAATACCTGGAATCACTCACAGGGTGCCTAGAATCACTCTAGGGCATGGGAATCACTCACCATAGCTAGCATAAGCTGAAGAAAACTCAATAAACTTCATAGCCTTTGTGTAAAACGTCCATACATATTTATAGACTCTAAACTCATAATAATCATAGGAGTCAAACTGTTAGACTCATAACAGTCTTAGGAGTCAAACTGTTAGACTTGATCATCCTAGTAGGACTCAAACCAAGTTGTCATATCCTATTTCAATTCAAAGAAAACTCAATAACTCTAATCCTACTTATGCAATGACTCTGAAATTTTAAACATAAGCAAACTATAACTAGACAAATAAAGCCCTATCATTGGACCACACAGAAAATTGCACAATGACAAAAATACCCCTACTATCCAAAAATACATAAAATTTCTTAAAGTTCAAATTTTTCCTCTTCAGCTCCTGCATCATTCTCCCCCGGTTCAAAAACACTCATCCTCAAGTTTTAAAGAACTTGAAGATGAAAAGTTGATATGTCCCAATTACAAAGGGAGTAGGAGTTCCCACAGCTACATGTTTGGATTGTAGAGTAGAGGCAACACAGAGAACTAAACAAGGATCTTGAAAGAAATGTATTTCTGAAACACTGCCCTCCATAACCATCCTTGTTAAATCATCAATAACATTAGTTTCTTGAACACTTAATTCATCAACCAACCGTTGTGATGAATCTTCCCCTCGCTTATCCAAACTCTCAATTGCAACATTTGGAGCTTTTCCTTCAACTTCTAGCTTAGGAATCACCATCTCCATGCGTTCTACTATCCTTGGTTCTTCAACAAACTCTAGGACTCTTTCCTAGTGTTTTAAAAGCGCAAGGCACAAAAAAGGTGCAAGGGCCAATTTGCGCCTGAGGCACAAGGTGCAAGGGGAGTAGGGATGGCAATTTTAACCACAAAACCGGGTCCCCGACCCACCTCGCCCTGAACGGGGCGGATTTTCCCCAATCATAAATGTGTACGGGTCGGGTTCGGGGATTTTTCTTTTGCCCCGGACCGGGGACGGGGCGGAGATGGGGTCTGCATATAAATCCCCGAACCCGCCCTGACCCCGATTGTGAATTATAAAAGTACCTTTTTTATATATAGATAATAGGTAAATTAGGTTTTGGTTTTGAACTTTTGTTTCTCTTCATTCTTCTTCGGCTCTTCTTTGGTCATCCTTCGCAGATTACACAACACAGACTTTGGACTTTGCCTGCCAACTGCCAGAGAAGAGGAACTGCCGGCCGTCGGGCGTCACCGCTGCCGTAGCAGCAATGACCAATTCTTCCGTCGGGCATCCCCGCCGCGGAAGCATAAGTGACCAGTTAGTTCTTCACAGGTCTACAACTTTTCAATCTCATCTTTATTTTCACGACTCTACAACTTTCCAATCTCATCAACTTTCTTCACTCTTTAGCGCTCTAAGGCATAGTAGGCGAAGAACCCATCAGGCATACCACAAATACAACCGCAGTATGCCTGTATCTCTCTCTGTTCTCCCTCTGTAATTAACTAATTGTGTTTCTCGGATTTTTAGTGCCAAAGACTATCCAAGATCAAGAAACACCAGTTTCTGACTTCGAGAGTTGTATTTGTGGTGCCAGTCTTCAGGGAAGTCGTATCTTTGGTGGGGATGGATTGATAAGATCGGAAGAAGGAGATAAAGAGCATAACAATATCAAGCAAAGATTCCTATTGGGTATGAGATCAGTTGGAAGGCATAAAGAGGTTGTTAGGATTCACAAAAATTCTTTCTCAAGTTTCCTTGGAAGATCTGGAATACAGTCATTTGAGATTTTCTCAGGGGCAATCACACAGAAGTGCCACGACAACGCCAATATCAAATATGCTTGGTACGGGACTTCAAAGGATGGAATCGAAGGATCATTTTTCATGGTTTTGGGCAACGTGGGGGGCCTGAGAACAATGGATTGTATGGTTCTGGGCTCTCTCTCTCTCCTGGGAAATTTTGTCTTGACAAATAGTACCCATGGTTGCGGGGCAGGGATATGTCGGGGATTCCCCATACCCGACGAGGCCGGGGATGGAGGTTGAATCTTTACCCGATACCGGGGATGGGGTGGGGACGGGTTAGGGGATTTTAGCCACGGGGCGGGGGTGCCCCGCCCCATTGCCATTCCTAAAGGCAAGGCACACACCTTTTTAAGCAAGGTGCAAAATTACAAAAAAAAGCTAAAAAATAAAAAAAGTCAAAAAAATAAAAAAATGCCAAAAAATTAAAAAAATATTAAACATAATGTTAATAAAAAATATAAACTTAAATTTTAAAATAAATGTTTTAAAAAACCTATTATCTAAAATTAAAATACATAAACATTACATTTAAAGTGTATTCAAATGAATATTTAAAAATAAAAGCAAACATATAAAGCATTTTCAAGCATGTAAAACCCACAATCTCTTTTTTCTCAATTGCATTGCTTCAATTTGCTAATGTGATGTAAAACATATTGCATTCTTGATTCTATGAGTCGCCTTTGTACCACACCCCAACCGTTAGACTCAAAACAAAAAAAAGCAAAAAAGTGCAAAATTTTAAAAAGGTGCACGCCCGGGCTGAGGCGCAAGGCGCAATAGGCGCATGCCTAGGCGCACCAGGCATGCGCCTTTTGAAAGGGGTGCGCCTAGGACCTTGGCGAGGCGCATACCCCAAAATGCGCCTAGGCGCACCTTTAAATCACTACTCCTTCCATTGTTGATGTTGGTGGCACTTGTTTTATGCCAGGTTGTAATTCTTGAATTAGTTCTACTTGAACTTGTAAGGTAAAGTCACATACTTCCTTACTAGGATCTACTACAATAAGCACATTTTTTTCTTGCACCTGAATTTCTTTAACTAACCTTAGGCTGATCACGGGTGTTGGAAACTCTAGCAATTATTATTTTTTCTTGGCTTGCACCCTCTTCATTTTTAATATCTACAATTTCTATAGCTTGAAGTTCTTTAGCTTCATCCTCAACTTCAGCTATAGGATAGGCATCAACATCAAGGAATCATCTACTTTCTTTTCAACTTTGTACCTTCTTCCCATTGACTTCAAGTTCTTTGTTGTAACCTGTTGCTTCTTCTTTTGCTTGAAATTAGTCAACTTCATATATAGATCATCATGGAAGTCTAGTGGGATGCCCTTTTCTTACAAACACCTCTTCATCTCTGCCCATGTACTAATTGGATCATCGCCTCTATTTTCTAGTCATTGCTCAAGAGTTCTCCACCATACTTTAGCATGACTCGTCAGTTTCATGCATGCAAATCTAATCCTTTGTTTGTCAAACATGTCATGCCAATCAAAATATTCTTCTAGTTCACCAACCCAATCAAAGAATGCTTGTGGATCATCATCTCCTTTGAAATCTGGTATTTCTCTTCTCACTAACATGTTTGAAAACCTTACTCCCATAGCTAACATTATTAGATCTGTTTTCTTCCACCATCTTCTCAAATAAGTCAACCAAAGACCCTTCATATGGTTCAGAAACCCAATCAACATTGATTTTAGACCTGTAAGATTGTTTAGAAGATAACCCTAGGCCTATAGAATCAGTCACTTTGTGAGAACATAGTGAATTAACCATTAGCTCTGATACCAAACTGATGTAGGACCAGCTTAGTTCTAGTCCTTAGAGAATGTTGAATGTGTCTCTTGGATTAGAATTTTATGGTTGTTGGTGGCTGCAATGGCTTCTTGAAGGAATGAGAGAGAAAATAGGGAGAGAAAGAAGAGAGAAAATACCTGGAACACTCACAGGGTGCCTAGAATCACTCTAGGGCATGGGAATCACTCACCAGTCACAAGCTGAAGAAAATTCAATAAACTTCATTGCCTTTGTGTAAAACGTCCATACGTATTTATAGACTCTAAACTCATAATAATCATAGGAGTCAAACTGTTGGACTCGTAATAGTCTTAGGAACCAAACTGTTAGACTTGATAATCCTAGTAGGACTCAAAACTAAGTTGTCATATCCTATTTCAATTCAAAGAAGACTCAATAACTCTAATCCTACTCATGCAATGACTATTTTAAACATAAGCAAACTATAACTAGACAAATTAAACCCTACCATTGGATCCCATAGAAAATTGCAAAATGACAAAAATACCACTACTGTCCAAAAATACAGAAATACATAAAATTTCATAAAATTCCAATTTTGCCTCTACATCTTCTGCATCATACTGACTGTTACTTTCTTGATTTTACTTTCACTTTGGAATTTATGTTTATTCTTTTACTATTGCACTTCCATTGTAGACTTGATATTTCTAATTACCTGCACTACAATGTCATGCCACTTGGTTAGCCATCCATCTCATTCAGGGATTTTCTTGAACTGATCCTCAACTTCCCAAATGAACTCATTTTGTTTTTTAACTGGACTTATATTCTGTTTATTTTGGCAATGGATACTACAGTGGTATGGCTTCCAGGCTTCCTCTTCTCTTGATAGTCTGCTTGTTAGTTTATATTTTATTGGAAGAAGGTCTATATGAAATGCATGTTCTCATTATTTTGACACTCCCAATTCTACAGATTTGATAAAATCACTGTCAGAACTAGGACTCTTCAACCGACAAGCATTAATACTTGTTCCACATAATAAAGCTACCGGGAGCAACGACAGAAATTATTCTAGTGACACTGATCATTCAAGTGAATCTAGTGGTGGATATTATGGATTTGTCAAGCGAGTATTGTCTTTCCTAAATCCATTCTCCTACCTTGGTAGTACTGCCAGTGGGTTAAATTCCCAACAAGAATCTAATGCTGGATTATGGCAATATCGTAAGTTTCCTACTCTGCTATGGCTTTATTTGAAGGATAGTTTCAAGTTTTAGCAGACTGCTTATTGACACAATATATTTGTTCTGAAGAATCCTGTTGGGATATCTAGGCAATGTATATGATAAAAGGTTGATTCATTGTCACGGGTAGTATCTGAAGTTTTCATAGCATTGATACATTGCATCCTAGTTGGTAGAGGACAAGTATTTGTAGTATGGCTTTCCTGAATGGAGCACTTCATTACTCAAAAGTAAGGGAGGTTCAGAAATTCCTTGACTTTTTTAGCATATGTCTACCTGTTTCACAGATATCTAGCCTATTGTTAAGCATTCAATAGTAACGAGTAAATGAGTAACTTCATGTATTGTATTTGGTAACTCCACAGATATCTAACTGACTGCTCCCCCTTCCCACCCCTCACAGAAAAATTTAAAAGAAAAACAATATTCCTGGTTCTGCAGTCTGCACATGCATATTTGGTTTGTTTGGGTCCAGAAATCAAATATACATTGTTTCTGTATTTTGCCTCTAGATATTATTACTGCATTATTTTAGATTGGTTGTTTAATAGTTTATTTTGTACTTAGACTGTAAAATCAAGGCTGGCCTTTTTTCGATGGATCAAGTTTTGGTGAATTTCTTATGACGGGAATATTTTATTTCTGGGAAGTCTAAACTGGACTGCTCTCAGTTAACAAAAATCATTTGAATTTTGAACCATTTGTGGGCATGTACTTAGAAGAGCTGTAGCGCTCTTATATCCGACTGTTCTTAAGAGCAAACGTCTGGATCTTTTTGTGCAGTCATTGAATCATATACTAGTTATGACTTCTAGATTTTTGTTTTGGTATTGGTTGATCAGAAGAGTGATCTGCCGAGTACTTTGGCAAGTTTAATGCACCATAGAGATGTTTCCTTTCTGTTTCATTCTGTCTTTGCTTTTCTTAATATTTTATGCATCTTTTATCAGGTCCCAACCCTACCTATCAGAGTCACTTACCAGAGAGACAGTACAACTTGTACTCACCAAATCGTGGCACCAATTCAACTGAAGGAAATTCCAGCAAGAGCAAGAGATCAACAGCATCCCGGATTGGAAGCAATATCCATACACTGAAACGTGATGAAGACGTTAACCCATTCAAGGACAGAAATGCCTTCTGGAATGGGAATTCCACACAATATGGTAATAACGGTGACAACTGACTAGGAATAATATCCAATATAATCATATCCTTTAATTTATTAAGATCTGATCTTTGAATCTGAGCCTATTGGTCGGTTGACAATGTTCTCATGGCTGATGTCCTGATGGTGCTTATGATATGGAGTTCTTCGTTTCTTTGTTTCACTCTAATATTTCAAGCTTTGCTATTAGAAAGCGCACTTATTGTAAATTTAGTAATAAGATGATGCTATATGATACAGGGTTGGTACTGGTAGTATCTTAGTTTCGCTATTTGATAATGGACATTTTGTAAATTTAATAATAAGATGTCACGTTTTAATATCCCAAGCTTATGAGTTATGGTAATTTCCTATGTGTTTCAGAAATTATTACAGGTTTCTCTCTTTCGGCAATTTCGCCTTTCCATTGTTATAAGTTTAGGATTTATTCTTTTCAACTACTATCTTCTTGGGAGTAGGGGTGCCCATGAAAAACCAACCGAACCGAGAAAATCAAATCGGAAAATATGGTTAACCGAACTGATTGGTTCAGTTTTGGTTTGGTATGTTTGAAAAATTGGACTGATTTGGTTTTTGGTTAACTTAAAAAAACTGGTGGTTAACCGAACTGACCTATATATATATTTATATGTATATTATTTATATTTTAATATATCACATATTTCCTATATTATATACATATATATATTATGTTTATAATAATCTATTTATAAATATATTATATATCATTTATTATTTATAATATAATATTATACATATATTTATATAATATAATAAATATAAAAACCGAAGAACCAAACCAGTCAAAAACCGAAACTGATGGACCGGTTAATCGGTGGTATCGGGGTTTGGTTTCAGTTAGGAGAAATAAAAAAATTAATGGTACCGGTTCGATTTGCAAAAATTGCCCATAGTTCGGTTAACCGAACTGTGGACACCCCTACTTGGGAGTAGTATGTCCGAGGCACAGGGGTAGGGGTGCAAGCCAGGTTTTAGCTCAATCCAGGCTCAACACTAAGAATTGAGCCTAAAACCCTCGCCCGATGAGAGGTGGACTTCATCCCAAAGCTCCCGAGTGGTAACCTGTTTGGCCAACTAATAAGTAATAATCCCACCAACCTGAACTAAGCTTGTTCATCTTTGAAGCACCATTCAAGAGCTTGGCCATTTCCGTTGCTTGTACCCCAGGCAAGGGGCAAGTCACCCATTAAAATTTTCCAACAATGAATGAAAACAGTGTTTTGTAGAAATTCGCTGGTTGAGTTCAAAGGTATCTATCTAGGGTAAAGGCTTTGAAACCTTATCCCCATTCGATGTTTTTAATACCTACTTTTCTCTTCCTTCACCTAATCAACGTTTCGTCCAATAAGAAAACCCTCGCCGATCTCAAAAAATTAAGTGGAGTGCACTATGTTGAGAGGTATAAAGGAATAAGGAGTGTGACCTTGAGACTGTTCTCTAGGACATCCATAGTAGCCTAGACAGTTACATTTGAGCCTTCTATTCCCCCTTTTTTCCTTACCCTCTGAACCAAAGGCCCCATTTTGTCCTATACCAAAGTCCTTGGGTTCCTACAAAACTAGGCCCCCATCCTAAGGTGTGAAGCAACAGTAAGGTTCTCCCTCATCCTCTTTTAACCCTTAAAATAGCTTTGCTCATTGACCCTTTTGCCCCAAGATGGCCTTCTGGGCACATTGGAACATGTATTGATTCATACAGATGTATTCACCTCTAAACTATGTTGACTTGATCCCGAGGCAACATTTGGTACGAGTACAAACAACAAACTAGTGCGCATTCTCCGGTTCGGGTCTGTAGTTGTTTAGTAACACAGTAAATATACATAAAAAAATGAGTGAAGATTTACAAACTAATTGTACTTTGCATTGAAAAAGAGAGCAAAGTGTTCTTCCTAAAAAATCAACATAACACTTGCATTCATTTCCGATCGAGATAAACAATCCTAACTTTTTGCTCTCTTTAGCAGAACTCGAGATTTCACATTGAGTCCTAGCATAATGGTGGCTTCCAATATTGCACTACAATTTATGATCTCCTTTATTGCTCATTAAATATGCCCATTAATCTCACATTGAAGCCATTGTTGGGTAACTAGTTGCTTTACTCTAGGGCTTGAGAGACAAGCTTGTTGGTCATGGTAACTTCCGATCTAGTCATTGACTCATTGTAGCCAATGACAACACCTCTGATCTACTTAACTCCTTGCTCACGTCATTCTCTGATCTCGCTTTATGAAGGGTACTGCCGCTACTGGAGTTCCACCCTCCCACCTTTCTTGCAAAGTTCAAAATATTGATACATTCGTATGGGCGAATCGATACACATTTTAGTTGTTTTTTTATTTTTTATTTTTTTTGCAACCGGTTCAGGGGGGGTCGGTTTAGATCTTCTCTACCCCCTGAACCGGTCAGACCTCTGATACACTCACTGTAGTGGTGTATCGGAGAGGTCCCGGAACGATACGTATTGGTCGATATGGGCCAATACGTATTGATACTTTGAACCTTGCTTTCTTGAGACTAGCTTCTACTAATGAAGGGAGGTTTGCAAACTCAAAGACAAATGAACCCCATAAACCTCATTCTTATATCGGTTAGAGTAAAAACAAAGAAAATATATGGACAAGTTAATATGTTCAAGTAGCAACCAAATAGAGATAGGGAGTAGGGTTTCATCATCTTGCTCAAATCATCCCTCTCCAAGTTGGACCCAATGAGCATGGTGGCATCAGGGTTCCAACCCTCACACCTCTCTTCGGACCAGCCTCCTACATACGAGGAGAAGAGACACAGACCCATGGATGACGTAGACCAGTTTTTGTTGCTCCAATTAGTATAAACAAAGTTATAGACAAGAAGGGAAAACCAACGCTGGAGATTACTGTCTAGAAGGGCTCTAGGAAACACTCCTTGGAGCTCCAAGCTGTTTGGAGCTTATAGCTTCTGATGGTCAGGGATAGAAGACGACACCGATCGAGTGAGGCATTCTCCAACCTAAATCCTTAACACTGGATCAAATGAAAATTGGGGAAAAACACAAAAAGAAGTGAGGATAAATAGGGGTAATGGATGGGAAACGCAAAGAGGGGATGAGGGCGGATCTGCGTTCAATAGCACATATCGAATCCGAATCTGATCCAATAGCACATATCGAAGATCCAATCCGATCTGAAGATCTGATCAAATCTCACAAATGGTGATTTGAATCTAAATCCGTTAAAGGATGTTGGATAACTTAATATGATCTGATCCAATTTAACTTCTGAAAATTTTAATAAATTATTAAAAGAAAAAATATAACAATTTATATAAAGAAAAATAAAAAATATAAGTATTTTTTCAACTACCTTCTTATAAAAGTTTACAAAAGATACAATATAAACATATTTGTAAATAAATATATTAGCAAATATATTAATATATACATGTTTTTTATCCGACCCGAAATTTTGACATAAGCAAATCTGGCAAAAATAGATGATCCGATCCATTTGCACCCTTAATAAAAGGCTTGATGTTCAAGTGTTCACTTTTTTGCTTTTTGTGCAAAACAAACAACCAACCGAAATCAGCACATTATTTTTTCATGCAAAACTTAATCGGTTTTGCATTTAATTGAACCAACAAAATTTGTATTTGTATCCAAATTTTTGTTTTTATACTCTCACCAAACACATCCCAAGTAAATGTAAATAAATTGTTTATACAAGAATCCTAGATAATACAATTGTCTTCTTCTTGTACAACTTGCTTAATTGATTTCTTGCTCAACCACTTTCTTCTTAAAATATGTAGAATCCAAATTTTTGTTTCTGCACCACAAGCATGTGTTTTGATGATAACAAACAAATTACAATGAACTGATGATTGATCCTAGTCTTGCACCAAGCATTGGATTGCTATGTTCTATCAAAAAGAAAAGTCTCCCCGTAATTCACATATTGTGCTTTAAGTGTGTCTTGCGAAATTGGATCCGTTTGGAATTCAGATCAAAAAAATCAGATCCAATTTGACCTTTCACACAACACACACACACATATATATATATATATATATATAATATTATTTTTATAATTATTGTAAAATAACACTTGTACCCCATTTTAATATTTTGTTTTAAAAATAATATAATATAATTTTATTAATTATAAAAGTCTAAAATTGGAAATTTAAAAGTAAAGTAGTAAACCCTATCACCGAACAAAAGTACAGGGGGATTTGGGAAAATCATGGTTTTTAAAAACGAACCGGTGACCGAACCGAGGTCCGGTTACCGGTTCAAATAGTCTGACCGTTCGACCCGAATAGCCAGCCCGTTTTGACAAAAAAATAAAAAAATTGGAAAACGGTCAAAACCGTTCGAACGATTAACCAGTCGGTTCAATGATTTGCTGACCAAAATCAACGGTTTTGAAGGAAAAAGCGATTTTGAAGAAAAACATAGGTGACCGGTTCCTGGTTTTTCCGGTCCGACCGTCCAGTCCGGTCCGGTTTTGAAAACAGTGGGGAAAATAAACCTTATCCAAGACCCATTCTCTTCTTCTTCTATCTGTTCTAACTTCTAAACCTGAGAAGAACTGAAGAACCCTAGCCGCCACTATGTTGCTGACTGCCACCATCACCGGTCGTCAGTTGCGACTTGCCGTTCAGTCTTCACCATCGCCAGTCACCAGTTGCCTCGCATACACGTCTCAACCAGTCAACCATCTAAACGCTGCCAGTAATCCTTCGTTTCCCTTCTTCTATTTGTTTTTTTTTTTCATTTCTAAATCCACCAAGATCACCTCGCATGGTCACATTCCACTATTATTAGTGATCAATAATGAAAAAATTCCTTCATATTCATAGAGATAGGAGACATAATTCACATGGATATAGTAAGTCTCGCTTGGGCTGCWTTAATGGTAGTCTTTACATTTTCTCTTTCGC